AGATATTATGTAAATTTTTTCATTTGCATATCATAGAATCAATAGATTTAAATTTTAAAAGAATTTCTAATAGGTTTGTTTTGGAAATGTACAAATTAAACTCATTTTTATTTAATTAGAAAAAAATTACACGGCATTCATTTTCTATTTATTTATTAAGATTATTTTAAGATCTTTAAATTTTAAAGAAAATTAGATGTTTAACTTCGGTTATGATGCGTGATATTGTGTAAAGGGTTAGAAGAAACCGACCATAAACAACACTTTATACGGCATTTCTTATCGAATTCAGTGATACCGACTGTTATTTAGACTGCGTTAAGTTATCAGATACGAAATAACGCTTAACATTTTTTCTTTCTTTTTTTTTTTTTGTTAAGTCTGTAGAAATTCGATGTTTTCGTGAAGATTTTAAAATGCCCTTTCATTTCATTAACATTTTAAAGACATTACAGTGCAGTAAAATTTATTCTTTTCATTTTGTGTAATCTACTTCGCACCATAAAAATTCATTATTCCATAACTTTAATCAGTACGTATTCATCAAGAGAAAATAATTATTATTAAAAAAAATCGTGTTTATATTTTCCATTCATTAATATTCGAAATAAAGTCGAGAGTATTAAGTTTCTAATTTGCATACGCAATAATTAAAGAAGGTCGAATTTTTAATTTACTTTGGTGAAGTCTGGAATGTTTCCAATTTATTTACCCATTAAGAATTAGATGAAAATTTAGAAGCAGAAAAAGTAAAATAATTAATAAGCGTAAAGAATTTAAAGCCTAATCTTGTGTGAATTTCGATACGAATTGTAAAATGATACTCACCCGTAAGATCTTTTTCTTTCTCATTTTCACTTTGACTAATGATTACAATGGATAAAAGGATAGAGAGATATAAAACTATCAAGTTGAAAGTATACATATGATGATCTTTCTACGTTCGGAAAGACTGGAGTTTTAACTTCTCTGATACCTGTCACTTTAATCTTATCTTAGTGGTGTAAAGGTTGCTTTACATTGTGCGGATTCGTCAGAAAGTACCAATTTCACATTTATAACGTAATTATCTACCATTTTGTTTAATTAAATACGTCATTTCATTAGCAATTCGAATAGATTGGTTTAAAAGAGAGAATTAAAGAAACTTTTAATGTTTCGATTAATTTTTCCATTCAAACTTATTTTTCGTGTTTAAAGTTCCTTTGGAATAATAATACTTTTATATATGTCGTTTAATAATATATATAATTAAGAGCTCGTTGACAGATAATAGTTGACATTAACTGAGACTTGTAGTAATTTGTGGCAAACTATTTCATCGTGTATTAGAGAGCCAATTCGACATCAGACGTTGTAATAGTAGGTAATTTACTCGCCTCCTTTATTATAAATCATCATTATTTATTAATATTTGGCTTATTTAATGGGTTAGTATGATAAAACTATTCTTTTTACATTACGCATGATGATAATTAGTGGCTAAATTAGTCAATTAAAACGCATATATTCTTTTAAAATTTGGCTCAATTCTTGAATTATTAGTGAGTTTCAAATCTTAAAATAAATGAAAGTTTTAATAATGGATGTGGCTAATTTATTTTCAAATATTACTGTATAACAATATGATATTGTCTCTCCTATAATTAATTATAGGAGAGACAATAAAAACAAAACATTTTAGAATTTGGATCGATTATATTAAGCTAACTATCGAAATTTATGAGACTAAATGCCAGGATATATTGAATTTTTATGTATAAAAATCAAAATGCCCGTTACATAACACAATTGTTATGCATATTATATTACACGTGTGTATTATATATATTATTTTTTAAGATAAATTTAGAATGTTGTTAATTTATTACAAAATATATCAGCTAAAATATCCTTTATTCTTATAATAATGGCTTATGTACCATAAGTAAGAAAATAGCTCTCATTCGTAACCTATTAAAAGAATGGGCAAACACAACAGATGGGAAAATATTACATAAAATATTATGAAACAGTCAATTACTTCGTAATATTTCATGTATCAGGTGTGGCTTATCGAATGTTTGACATAAATATATCATTTATAACTATTCGGAATTTGTATATTTGTTAAATATAGCAAATATATTAACCATATTAGGAATAATAAAAAAAACAAAAAAAAATGAAAGTAACGAAGTTTGAATTCATAAATCCGGCTTATATATTTATTTATTTTTAGCTTGATTTTGAAAACGATTTGCTACTTTAGTATAATAATAAATGGTCAGTTTTACATAATATATTGATAAGTAGTTAAACCAAGAAAAAAAAAGAAGCCGTTCAGGTAAAGTAATTGCGTGTAGTTCTATTAAAAAGATATGACATCAATTACCCCGAATATCAATCATAATTAATTGTTCGGAAGCTCACGTCTTAATCATTAATGACAGTGATTGGTTTTGTCGCATAGCTTGGCATATTAATCACCGATTATTTTGAGTAATTTCTAAGTTAAACATACTTCCAAATGTAATTTTTCTATTGTTAAATTGGTTAGAGTTTAATGCCAATTATAATATTTATTTACTGTACTCACGTAAACTTTATATAGTCACGAAAAAAGAGAGGAATGATTCTGCCAAGATATTATTGTTTGCCTGAATAGAAAAACAACCTGATATATTATAATAAATGGTTTTATTATTTATGTATTTTGACCATAAAATGTCAAAATTCATCACGTAACTCGAAGTCACGTAACTAATTAATCTTTCTTAATTTAGGCTGGAAGTATATACTTTAAGTATTTATTATCCATTCTGAATTATATACATACATACATACATATATATACAAACCCTAAAATTCAAGAAAATTATCATAATTGAATGATTCTTATCATAACTTTTCTACTAAGAAAAAAGAAAAAAATTCATAACAATTGCACTAACCTTGACAGGTTGATCAACTTTACCTTAACTATAAGTAATGTCATAATTTATGCTTGATCTCTCAACTATACTACATTTATTAGCAACATAATCATTAATTATTATTTTCATGACGAAATTATCTAACAGAGGAATTAGAGGAAAGAAAATTCCACAATCTCTCTTGAACTTTTAAAGGTCGAAAACCCGTTACATGCGATAACTACGCTAGTTTGCCCATGAAAATTATCAGCATAAAACATCGTGTTTCCCTCCCTTTCATATCATTAAAAATTGTTAAAAAGGTAGTTCGAACGATTAGATGGTTAGTGTTAATTTTAACTCTAGTTTTTTTTTTTTAGATAAATTTTATTTTAGCTTAGATATATAGAGATTAAATATAATAGTGATTTATATTCAAAATTCTGAGTGGAATTATCTGATAAATTGAATGTTTGTGTAGCACTTAAGATAAAATTGCCATCTGTTATTGTCAATCAAGTTCAATGAAATATTACCGGGCGACCTTGTTGATTTGTCAAATCATTCATTTTCTCTTTCTAATTATTTCACTCCTTTGATCATTTTTCATACAGTATTTAAATCTGTCTATCAAAACCCTCGCCATCTATTGTTAACCGAAGCAACTAATTAATTTAGAAAATTTCTAAATTCTCCATTTAGTTATATTATTTAGCAAAAGATGGCATTGTATTAAATTATTAAAGTAAGTAACATTTGCTTTAATTTTCATCCATTAAAAATAAATAAATATTTATCTTATTATTCAATTATTTTATAAATGGAAGATATTTCGATCGATGAAAATATTTCTGTTGTAAAAAAAAAAAAGCCGAAAAATTTAGCTTTATATCATTAGAAAAAAAAAAATTCGTCTCGACGATAAACTAGATAGGAAAAGAAGTATTTATAATGATAAGTCGTAGCTTAGAGAAAATCGCTAGCGATATTTCATCATTAACAACATTAGAAAAACTTGTTTGTGACGTTGAACATATTTTTTAATTGGCATATTTAGCGTAGACGCGATAAATCGCTGGCGACTTTATTACGTAGCGCGATAAGTCGCGACTGATTTAATAAAACGAATTAAAAAATAATAATTATTATTATTTTCGATTAATTTTAATTAATTTTTCAATGAAATAAATAAAATTCGATTATTAATTTAATCGATCCAAATATTAACACGTGAAACGAGACAATAAAAACATAAAAAAGAGTATTTTAATCGACATTTACGATGATAAAAAAATATACTTTGCTAGATATCAGAATCAGTTAAAAATCAATCATTTTGCGACAGATCTCAGCCGATGTGATAAATTACATTCGATTAATCGCTACTGCTTCGAATTTTTCATGTAACCTAGGCAAATCTATATAGGCTTATATATATATATATTTTTTTCTAATCAAATTAACTGCAAAATAATTTAAAGTATTTCAGTGTAATTTTTATATTTAAAAAAAAAAGAAAAAAAAAAGACAATTTTTAAATGGGTTTATCGGATATTCCAATTGAATGTTGGATAAATTAATTATTAAAATTTTTAATTTTTAATCGATAGATGGAAGCACTTACATAAACGAATTAAAAGGTAGTTTATAAATTGGTAGAATAATTATCGAGAATTGTCGCCTTTAATAATTATATATCCGATGCCAACACACACCTAAACGTAAGAGGGCAGTACTCGAAGCCCTCTCGCATCGAACGATCCAGTCGTGTGTCGGATGCCGTCCAACGGCCAAATGCATCCAGAAAACGCTGGAAGGTGGGTCGAACGTGACGTCGACCGAAGACGTAAGTGGGGATTAACGTAATATCAAAGCGCAAAGAAACGTAAAATGTATTCAAGATGGACAAGCAAGCTTCACGTATACCATGTGCCAAACCTCATACTTCTGTCAGGGAAGCTACTAAGGTGAGGTCAATTTTAAGTAAGCAACAATCGTATATCGCCATTTGTAAATATTAAAAAAAAAATGTCATATGGATGTTTATATTACGATTTGTTTTAATTAAATATTATATAATGATTTATCATCCGTTCGATAATTATGTAGGTAGATCGTATCGATTTTACCAGCCTACGTATACATTCCTCTTTTATAATCACGTTAATAAAATGGTTAAGGTAGGTGAATATTATTTAATATTATTCATATTTGTAAAATTTTTGGGTCGAATACAATTGTGCTATTTATCCCGATGCTCTTAAGTTGATTAAGGTTGGATTGGCCTGGTACGCAATACCCTTGTGGTTAATTACGTTTTCGTTATTCTATGGGGGATGGTATAGAATCTGAAATTAACTTTTACCTTCCTGTACGTATAATTATTTTTTAATTATGGATTTTTTTTCCGTTCGGATTGGTCGTAAAGGGATCGGGATGCATATCGGTTCTATATTAAATATTTTGTGGATGATATGAATTTCAGCATGAAGGAGGCTTTCCAGAATTTTTATTATTATTTATAGATCATATTTTTTATCGAAATTTATTGTAGGGTATCAAGATTAGAAGGCGTGTCTTGATAAGAATACAGATGGTTCCGTGTATTTCCAGAAATCGATAAACGTCTAGAAGAAAATAAGTCGAAGAAATGTTTGTAATTTCGTTTTATTCTTATAAAAACTGACATGAAATTTATATTTATATAGTAATCGTCTACTCTTGTAGTAGTATTTTTTTTCCAGCTAATTTATTTTTTTCGTTGACTCCCACTCTCGAAATTTAAATTTGGTGCCTTATACGAAAGATGTCTCTTATACTTGAGGATCACGTTCCTTGCCAGATGAGGTCTTAACGTGAAGGTTTTACTGATTTAAAAAATAATGATAGAGGCATTAACGTTCGATTTTTATGGAGCCCGATATCGAAAAATGATGATGATAAAATTTTATGATAATTAAATATTTAAATTTTAGTTTAAAAATAGTTATTCGGTCGACTTGATAGAAACGGAGTGTAGTGAATGAAAGCGCGCACACACATCATTTTTATTACCGTATTGTATCTAGTACAGAAACATGGGTGAGAACATAAACATCTTCAAAATGGAAGCTAAGTCCAAATAAGCTAGGAAAAGACGCTTTTGCATTATTATTCAAAGGCATTTCAAATATCGATTCTCTGTTACGCTGATCCAATTATGTCCGCTGTCTTCCTTTATCTGTTGTTTTCTGATGTCTGATACGCGACACCCTTTAAGTCCACTTTTTTTTTTTTTTAGCGGTCCAACAGTCGAAAGTGCGGTTTATAATAAACAATCGGGTTGTTAATTGCAGACATGATTTTGCTATTGTCGTATTGATTGATTATATAAGGCTTCTTACACAGAGTTCATTGGAGTCGGGAATGAGGACCAACCCCTGTGAAATTAGGGGGTCGAAAGCTGATTTTATTGTAGCTATAAAATGAGGTTTGGACAGAAGGAAGATTGTGTAACAGCAATATAATTATTTTTTCTTCTTCTTCTTATTATTATTATACTGTTTAACCATCATATTTTTACGTGTTAATAATATTACTGTTTTACAATGGAAATTATAGAATACTTTTAAAATATTTATTTTCGACGATAATTTTAAATAATTAGTTTTAAATTTAATAGTAAAATGTTTAATGTTTCCTATTTTAGTCTTAGAAATAGCAGTTTTTTTATTTCATTTGTCACAATAACATAAATTAAATGTTTTTAACATGATGTTATCCACTATAAAAAAAATATTTTTTAAACAATAATAAATCTTTAATTCAATTTTATATTTAATTAGCCTATAAATATTTTAAAGCAACCCTTTTATAGTAATAATTCTCTCTACAGTTCATTAGAATGAGTGTTACTCTATAATCAAAACATTAATATACTTTAATTAAATCATGAATAACAATCTTTATCTACAAATGCTTGCAATATTTTTTAAAATTTTAGAAATAAAAAAAATGAATAAAAGAAATGTAAAAATAATTTTTTTCTTGAAAATTCAACATTATTTTTATGAAAATTTGTGTATGAATTAAATAAATCATTCATACTTTTTCCTTATTTTAAAGCATTTTCTTTAATATGCTGCTCTAAAAATGAACATTTATAAATTATAATATAATGGTAAGCATAATATTTAACAAAAATAAACATTGCATATAATTATCTCATATATGGAAACTTGAATTATTGTTTGAATTAATGTTGTGGCAAATGCTTTACGATTACTTATCAAAACTGAGTGCGTGACTGATTTGTGTGTGCAGACACGCGTTAGACTCTCGAAACTCAAATCATCACTCGAATACCAATTGGCCCATTAAATTAATACGACAATAGATAGTGCTGTTGACTACGTAAGTACCAATTAGTTATTGATATAAGAAGAATAAAGTCATTTTTCCTTCATACCAATGGAGTAAAACACTTCTATGATTCTGTCAGTCTAAAGAGGAAGAACTCGTCGAGAGATAAAATTTCAAACGCTGCAGTCCATTCATTTTCTACTAGGAATATAAAACTGATCAATCTCTTTTTCCTCCTCTTTTTTTCTTTATGTATTAAAAAGTTGAATTCGTTTAATACAGTGAATACACGAAAATGGGGCAATATCTTAAGAAATGAAACCGAGTGAAGGATTATTTTGGACTCTCCTTAGTCTCGCAATCGATATTCTCCTCTTCGACCATAAATCAGAACCAAAAACCATGCAGGAGGAGCGAAAACCTTAGTCAATATTAGTTCTTCGTTTCAATGTGTTGAATTAAGTTGCATTGAGAACAGGAAAATTTCGCAATTCTTGTTTTCTTAACTTAAAAATAATATATTCAAGGAAAAAAATTACTAAAACACTTTTTTCAATGTTCAGTAAATCACTGATTTAACGGGTATCTAAATTCACAAACTATTTAATTAATAAATAAAAAAAATAAAGACGAATTTGTGAACTATAACAGCGATTAAAACTCGAAAAATATATATATATTTTTCGAGTTTTTTACATTTTTTTAATAATCTAAACAAGAAGTGAATGAAATTTAAATTTCTTAATTAAAAAAAAATTTTTTTAGAGTTAATTCAATATATTATAATTTTTTCTAATTAAAATTTTGTCATTTTAGTTATTCATTTTATCAGCAGATGGCGATGTCGTTGAGAATGGGGGGGGGTTAAAAATTAACTAAAGATTAATGCTGGGTACTTCAGAAAGTGCGAATATATTCTGTTTACTTTCTCTCAAGAATGAAAAATTAACTTTACCGTTTTTTATCGTTTCTTCATCCAGTTTTGACAAGCTAAAAATATTAATTTCAAAATTGGATAAATATCAGTCAGATTAACGATGCGGGATTGGTGCTGAGGCTTTAAAAAAAACCCCTTCTGAGGGAAGAAAAACTTAATAATGATCTCAATTGAAAATTTGAGCTCCTAGTAACTTGTCGGTTTGCAAGAAGAAGAAGAAGAAAAAAAAAAAGGATGTAACCGGAGAATCTTGTTAGGACGTTCTTTTTCTTACGATTTTCTACGTTTTGTATCTCTGAAAGACCTTCAACAATGTAAATTTGAGAGAAAAATGTAAGCCGTAAGCGTTATTCAGGAAGACATTTTGAAAGTTATTTTGGTCTGAGAAAATTGGTCTCACAGTTGGCATCTTTAAAATTAGAGGTTATTTTGAATAGGTCACGACTCGTTAAACTATTGACCTCTTGTGATTCATAAAAACTTGTAGATGAATTATGTGAAAGCATGAAAACTAGTCGTATTAGACGGTTAATTTCTCTAACTTGTTAAATTATGCATAATTCATATTTTGTTTGTAATAGGTCAACGATGTCGTAGAAATATTTAGCTTTTAAAAAGTCTTTAAACCTGGGGAGAAAAAAGTAATTATTTTTTTTATTCGAAAACACGTGTTTTAATTTTAATGTTAATTCAGTTAAATTCTTAGTTAACAGAAGTTAAAGTATTCAGGAAATGAGCAAGATGCCAGCATTAATGGGAGGTTTTTTAAAGACGAATGTTACCAAACACTCCACCATTAACGTTATTGACTTTTTAACAAAGCAGAAACAAAATTAAAACACTCTTAAAATATTTTCTAAAGTCAAAAACATCACAATTTCCTTGTTTAATCGAAATTAATTTTTACATCCACTTTCTTCTTAAACATAAACTTTTTTAATGGCTTCCCTTATCTAGTCACTTCCTATCCTTAATGGAATTAAATACAAACAAAACTTAATCCTATTATTGGTTAAAAATGTAATATTTTATATTTTTAAAGTAGACAATTTATAGAAGGAAAAAATAATAATAATATTTCAGATACTAAGTTACGTTACAAACAGTTGTTATGTGAAATATCAATCGTTAATGTCCCCCTCGCCATATGATGTTCTTCCTGTATCAGCAGACATGCTGACTACCTGCATTTATCGTTATCTACCCGTTCTGATTCGGGGGGATGCATCTGCGGGGTAAAAGCCTTCCCCGAATGATAGTTCTTACGGGAATGGTCGTTGTGGAAGCAACACAAGTACGGCTATTGTCCAAAATGTGTCTCCAACCTGAAGAGGAATGGCTTTTTTCCGACATCAAGTGCTTGATGGGTGAAGGGGGATAAGAAAAAAAAAATGTTTATTCTTTCTTTATTTTGTCTACCTGATACTATACGATATTTCTGTACTCATTTCAAGTATCACTTAGGAGTTATTTTTGAACTGTTTTAACTATTTAACAATTATAACCTTCTGCCCTTTATTAAATGAATGATAAATAAGCACGACAATTTTGGACTGAGTTTGCTTTAAATGTTGAAAATAATTTTATTTTGTTTTTTAATTATTGATTTAGTTATTTTTATTTATTTAATCATAACGCAATTGTTAAAGATTTATCTTTCGTCGAGAGATAAAATTTCAAACGCTGCAGNCTAAATTAAAATTAAAGAAATAATATTTTTTAATAAACAACCAAAAATGCATTAAGTTTCAAGGAGATGTAAAAAAATGATTGTAAGGAGGAAGAAAATTTTAATAAATTAATTAGCAAAATAACTCTTTAATCGATTATTTGTACTAATTTAAATGCATTAAATAAATTGATTAAAGTTTATATCACATTAGATATAAGTTTTGTTGAAAA